GAATCCTAACCATTCTCAAGTCCCCCTTAACGGCCAAACAGGATAAAATTCAGAAAAAAGGGGGTAAAAACCAGAAATTAATGCCAACTATCCTAAAATCCCCCTTTCAACAAACGGACCGTCGGTCCCGACTTTCAGTCCTCGTACCAGAACTCACCTGGTCTCATACCCCCCTCTGCTAGGGTAACAGGGCACCACAACCCTCCCCAGTACCGACCAACCTAGTTCTGACGGACAGGAAGTGCCTTCCTCCCTTGACAATTCCTTTAGCGGCAACCCCCTAAACAGGTTACAGGGTCCACACCCCGGTGCCAACTACGTTGGATGATCTGGTTATGCCTTCCACCCTCGGCATAACTCCATGGACCTGAAGCTCCCCCTCAATCACAGAGCACAGCTCCAGCACCGGTCTATGTCGTCCCAGCATCGTCATTCTGACCTACTCACCTTAACCGACATCTCTCGTCTGTTGAAAATCCCCTTTCATTCTTTCCATCCACCCATTCTAGTTTCCTCCTAGGCAACCATCAACAGAAAAAGCACCACCACAGTCGTAGATCTGTTTATCGAAAATTAAGAACAAAGTTAAGAATCTATCTGTATCTTCTTTTGAAAAATGAAATTTAAAGATGAGATCAATTAGTAATCAAGGTAATTTAGGTCATGAATTTTTGGCATCCAATTCAGAATGAAATTTCGAAAAGAAGAACTGAATAGGAAGTAGATTCTGATGTCCTCACAGACTTTCGACTCTGATTTCCAGAACCCTAGTTCAAGAAATCGCTCAGACTATAAATCATGAATTACTTAACAGAAAAAAAGAATCGACAATCAATTAAGAGGGAAGGTCACTCAGACAGTAAATGAGAAAGTTAAAAATACAAACTATCGATCAAGATCTACTAAAAAATCTGCATCGAGAATGCGACATGTAAAATCAGAGACTAAGATTTTCAGGAATCAGAACTGGAAACTTACAACACGAATCAAAGTAATCCAGTTTAGTGACTACAACAGAAACCATTTTACCTCAGCGAGAGGGTCTATCCAAAGAAAAGCAAGCTCATCCCGAGTATGCAATCAACAAGGTGAACCAAATCGACCACAGCGCCCTCGCACTCTGGATGCCCTTGTGACGAAACTGCAGCTGCCGCCGATGCCGCTTTGCCCTTTTTAAAAAAAACATGGACTCGATGTCGCCCCCAATCCTCCTCCCACTCCACGTGAGGACGCGCTCCTCCCTTTCAGCCTGCAACAGCCGACCTTCCTCCACAAAACTACGTAGGCAGAGGAGCAAAGGCAACCCATATGCCCAGAATCTCATGAACACCCGCCCCCTTTCAAAGACAGTCTTCCCTTCATCCAGCGTGCTAACCTGCATCATCACTGGATGAAGCATGAAGCCGGAGATGGCACCCCTGTGCTTTCAAAAGGCAGGCCACACCTAGTCACGCCACGCCATCTCTACCCTCCCACTGTCAAGTCTCTCGCACCACAGCCCCCACCCACCCACCGCGTCGCATGACTCTCCGTTGACTCCCCCGTCGCGCCGCGTCCGCTCGGATAGTGCTCGAGCGGGGGCGCAGCGCTCACGGTCGCGCTGCGCCCCCGACCGGTGATTCGTTTGTTGATGTGGTTCGGGAAGGGTAAGGTAGTGATTATGTTGTATGTATGTTTTGTCATGTACACAACTCGAATCCAGAGTAATCAATCCTGACAGGCGTTATTCAGATATTCTGTCAAGTTTTCTGTTTTCTGATTCATTTTGTTTCATTCTGTAATAGGGACGCTGGAACCGTTTTGAAGCAGGTGATGCTCCCCACAAATAGATGGAGTCTCTCCTCAAGGTGTTAGTGGTGTCTGCTCTTACCAGCACCACTAGCACTAGAGGGGTTGTTCAAAAAAAAAAAAAAAAACCTG